GCAGACTTTTTTTCAGACTTAGTAAACTTCATGTTCAGACTTTGCAGATTTATGTTCAGACTTTGCAGACTTATGTTCAGACATTGTAGTCTTTATGTTCAGACTTTGCAGACATATGTTCAGATTTTGCAGACTTAAGTTCAGACCTTCAGACTTAAGTTCAGACTTTGCAGACTATTGCTCAGACTTTGCTTTTTTATGTTTAGACTTTGCAAGCTTTGAGCTGCGTGGCGACTATAAATTTTCGGCCTCACGCGAACAGAATCAGACTTATTAAGTACGGGGTTGGAGGCTCCCCTTTTTTATCATTTATGCCATCCACTTTCGGCTGAACGACCCTAAATTGTTTGCGAAGGCGCCTTATGCGACAATATATTCTAATTCTGAAGAAAAAGCGCCAAAAAAAACACAAATTTTTCAATGTGAAACATTTTCCAAAAAAGTGAAGCAATAAAATCAAACTATTGGTGAAAATACTTTTGTTTTGACTTTGAGTTCGACAGTGCTGTTAATTTTGTTCGATTTTATGTTTCGATTTTGTGTTCGGTTACATATTTCGCCTTTATGACCACTTCTATGTTTTGACTTTGTGTTCGACGTTATCTTCGATTTTGTGTTTGACTTTATATTTCGACTTTGTGTTCGACTGTATGTTTCGACCGACTTGACTTTACGCTTCAACATTGAGTTCGACTGTAGCGCCATCTCGGCAATGGGTTTTTGATCAACCTCAACCATGTTTTCGACCCGTCTCGTTCGAAAAATAAGTCGCAATGTTCAAACTCTGCAGACTTATGTTCAGAATTGGAAGACTTATGTTTAAACTTTGCAGATTTTGACCTGCGTGGCGATTAAAATTTTTCGGCCCTCACGCGGATCGAATCCGACTAACTAAGTCTGAACATAAAACCATGACCTTATTTTGCAGACTTATGCTCAGGCTTTGTAGACTTTATGTTCAGTTTTTGCAGACTTATGTTCAGACTTTGCAGACTTAAGTTCAGACTTTGCAGATTTAAGTTCAGACTTTGCAGACTTATCTTTAGACTTTGCAAGCTTTGACCTGCGTGGCGACTATAACTTTACGGCACCACGCGAATCGAATCAGACATATTAAGTCTGAATATGAAACCACGACCTCGTTTTGCAGACTTATATTCATACTTTGTAGACTTTATGTTCAGACTTTGCAGACTTATGTTTAGACTTTGCAGGCTTTGCGGTGCGTGGCGACTATAAATTTTCGGCCCCACGCGAATCGATTCAGACCTATTAAGTACGGGGTGGAGGCCCCCCTTTGATATTATTGATGCCATCCAATTTCGGCTGAACGACCCTTAAATGTTTGCGAAGTCGCCTTATGCGGCAAAATATTCTAATTTTGAAGAAGGGGCGCCAAGAAAAACTTTAAATTTTACTCAAATTTTTTCCAAAAAAGTGCGGCAATAAAATCAAACTATTGGTGAAAATACTTTTGTTTTGACTATGAGTTCGACAGTGCTGTTAATTATGTTCGACTTTATGTTTCGACTATGTGTTTGGTTGAAAATTTCGCCTCTATGATCACTTCTATGTTTCGACTTTGTCTTCGACGTTGTCTTCGACTTTGTGTTTAACTTTATATTTCGACTTTGTGTTCGACTGTATGTTTCGACCGATTTGACTGTACGCTTCAACTTTGCGTTCCACTGTAGGGCCTTCTCGGTAATGGGTTTTCGGTCAAACATGTGTTCGACCCGTCTCGATCGAAAAATAAATCGCAATGTTCAGACTCTGCAGACATATGTTCAGACTTCGAAGACTTATGTTTAGACTTTGCAGATTTCGACCTGCGTGGCGACTATGATTTTTCGGCCCTACGCGGATCGAATCTGGCTTAATAAGTCTGAACAAAAAAACACAACCTCGTTTTGCAGACTTATATTCAGACTTTGTAGACTTTATGTTCAGACTTTGCAGACTTATGTTCAGATTTTATAGACATTATGTTCAGACTTTGCAGACTTATGTTCAGACTTTTCAGACTTAAATTCAGACTTTGCAGATTTAAATTCAGACTTTGCAGACTTTTGTTCAGACTTTGCAGACTTATGTTTAGATTTTGCAGGCTTTGAGCTGCGTGGCGACCATAAATTTTCGGCCGCACGTGAATCGAATCAGACTTCTTAAGTCTGAACATAAAACCACAACCTCGGTTTGCAGACTTATATTCAGACTTTGTAGACTTTATGTTCAGACTTTGCAGACTTATGTTCAGGTTTTATAGACTTTATGTTCAGACTTTGCAGACTTATGTTCAGACTTTGCAGACTTAAGTTCAGACTTTGCAGACTTTTGTTCAGACTTTGCAGACTTATGTTTAGACTTTGCAAGCTTTGAACTGCGTGGCGACTATATATTTTCGGCCCCGCGCGAATCGAATCAGACTTATTAAGTCTGAACATGAAACCACGACCTCGTTTTGCAGACTTATATTCAGACTTTGTAGACTTTATTTTCCGACTTTGTAGATTTATGTTAAGATTTTGCAGGCTTTCAGCTGCGTGGCGACTATATATTTTCGGCCCCAAGTGAATCGAATCAGACTTTTTAAGTCTGAACATAAAACCACGGCCCCGTTTTGCAGACTTTTTTTCAGACTTAGTAAACTTTATGTTCAGACTTTGCAGACTTATGTTCAGACTTTGCAGACTCATGTTCAGACTTTGCAGACTTTGACCTGCGTAGCGACTATGAGTTTTTGGTCCCCACGCGGATCGATTCAGACTTATTCAGTGTGAGCATAAAACCACGACCTCGACCCAGATAGATTTTTTTGTGAGAAAACGCATAACTAATGTTTGCCGAAGAAAAATTAACTTGTCGTTTCAGCTTTTCACATCGTTCTCCAGACTAGTTCCCAAATGCTATAACTAGAGATATGCATTGCTGCGCTCAGAGGCGGACTTAGGGGTAGGATACGGGGGTACGGAGGCCCGCTTTGGTATTTTTTATGACATCCATTTTCGGCTGAACGACCCCAAATGTTTGCGAAGGCATGAGCGATATATTTGGCATGAGCGATATATGCGCGTGAATTGGTGTTTGCCGCTAATCTAGATTGTAGTTAAAGATAGTCGTTCAATTTTTTCATTATTATTACGAGTTATGGCGAGTTGTCAATTTTTTCTAGTTGTCTTTTGTTGCGAGCTGTCGTATTACGATTGCTTCGGCTTCATCCACTTTCGACTGAGAGTCAGACATGTAACCTCTTAACCTTTGGCTCTAAGTGCAAGGCTTCATGAAAACGCACAAAAACCGTCAGAAAACCTATGCGTTCACTCAAAGATTTTTTTCTAAAAATGGAAAAGGATTTGAACTAAATTCCGTTTTAAGTCTTCTCTTTTTTTTAGGTTATGACCGGACGTCAATTATTTCTTGATTTTCCAAATTAAAGTAAAAACCAGGGAAGTCTAATCAAAGCGTCTTCTTTGATTGAGCAATGATTACAGTTTTTTGTGAAGTGAAAAAAGAAAAGGGCTACTCATGCTTGAGGTAAAATGGGAAGGGCATCTTAAGATCTGTTCCGCTTCTTAAAATAAATCGCCCTGGAAATCTGCAGCAACGAGTACAGTACATGAAGGGAAACGAAGTATCAAATATGCTTAAAAGCGGGATGAGCGTGGTAGCCATTTGACGTTGCCTTCTTTGAAAAGTTCAACCCACTGCTTAAGAATCCCGTGGCTATTAGGGGTGATATTTCCGTCGTCATATATCACCGTAATAAAGAGAGGTCATAATCGCGCCCACTCAAATGAAGTTTATTTCATTTGTAATAAGTCTTTTTACAATGGTAGGGTAACGCACAACTTGATCGGAAGAAGGTTGAAAAGATGACGTAAAAATCACAGTGAGAACACTTTTTTCAAAACAATGAGTTCCCTTTCAGCTTCTTTTTTAATCATGTTATAAAAAATGATGTTGGCCAAAGCTTTTTTGCCCTAATTATTCTTTGTAATGACCACCCCCACTCCCCGTTTTGTCAAAGTGACTGTCCCCTCCATTTTAGGACCCCCTTAGTTTTAAGTTTTCAAAAAAACTTTTCCATGTTACGACAGTCTCGCTTTTTTAAAATAATGATTATTTGCAGAGACATAAAGAACATAAATTTTGGTTCCGTACTTTTGCGAAGGGCAATTTTGCTCCCAACTACGAATGCTCTTCAAAGACGAGCTATATTTAAAAACATTGCTCTATTTTAGTCCAATCGATTTTCTGTCATCTTTATTTGCAAGGAGTCAAATTGATTTTTAAGGCTTAACAGGTAGCCTTCTTTGGAAATCAGTCAACCAGAAAAACAGATGATGAATATTGTCCCGTGATCACATATTAATCCTACTTTAGTACCAATTGGCTGTCAGATGAAAAAAGGGATTCGAATCGTAGGGAAAAATGACAGCTCTTACAGGACTGAGGAGGAGAGAGGGGGGGGGGGGGGTTCTGCTCGACTGCACTTCTTTTTTCTGAGCCCAAAAAGACTCTCACTTATTTAAAAAATCCATTGCCTGGTCAAGGCTGATAGTTTTAAGAAGTTTACTTTTTTTCAAGAAAAATGTGTTATTTTCATAATCTTGCAGTCACGTGAACAGTTTTTTTACGCATCAAATGCCAGTGGTAGCAAGGATGCGGACGCATCTTTGGCAGACAGGCTGAATGGCATAAAGTTACATTAAGCATCAAAAATCATCATTTATTAATCTGTGAATAAGCGAGACATTTGATTCAGAGTTTTGGAGAGTTTAAAGGGCTTTTAATTGGTTGGAAATTTTGTGCCCGTCGGTTCTTCTGGCTTGAGATTCGCACCCCAAGTTATTATCAGCCTTCCCAAGCAGGTTTTGAAGAAGATTTAAGTTTGATTTTGTCAGTTTTTAGCCCTGGTGGCGAGGCTAGGCGGGATAGTTCAGGGAAAAAAGGGTTTTGACGAATAAATTTAATGGTCTGTGGGTCTAATTAGGGCTTACCTTTCGACAGCTATGGACACCAACGTCAATGCAGATGCCACCACACTCGTAGCTGAAACAATCAAACTTGTCGGTGAGCTCAAGGTCAGGGTCAGGGGAAAAATTTGTAAGCGGTCAACTTTTAAATTAATGACCTAATTTGTGTTTTTACTTCGAGTTTTTCGCAATTTCTTTGAGACTTTTGAATACTATATTCTGACTGGCTTAAATTTCTGACTGTCTCTCTGTCACAAGGGACGCTACCTTTTAATGTATTTTGCCCAAAATAGTTTAACAGCGCATCTGCAAAAGTTTCACGCCTCGTTCAAACTTAATTTTCGAAGCCTACATAGTTTGATTGAATCGGATTGTATCATTTTTGTAATTTTTGATTTACGAATTTGGGCGGATTGAGTAAAAAAGAACTTAAAATTTATTAAAAGTGCTTTTATCAAGGCAAAGTCTACTGCCCTTTTAGGTCATTTCAAATTTTTTTTCAATCAACATTAGGAATACATTAGAAAAAAAGTATCGTCAAACAAACCTTACATTCGCAACTGGTCTTAAATTGATATTGAAAAAGTATTATTGAGATTATTCGCGAAGTAGGCAGGGGTAAGTTATGAAGCGAACTCCTCCAGAAACCAATACTTTGATTTCCATCAGTCCATTCGTAAGTCAACTTTTTTGTCCCGGCTGAGATTAAGAAATATTTGTTGAAGTGTTCTAAAACCTGTCGGATTCCCAAAAGTAATCAGAATTGCAGGTTATTACCTAGAGCCAAAACTATAATTAGGAGGACGGACCCCCAACCCACAAAGTGTTCCATTTTTTGGCACTATGTTATGTTATCTATTTTCAGTTAACTGAACCTCAAATTTTCTCATGGAGATTTTAGCGACGGTTTATAGTACACTAATTTTGAGGTGAGAATGAGCGCCAAAAAAACAAATTTTTGTTGTAAAGACTTCCAAAAACCCGACCACGTCTTTTTGGACCAGTTTTTTTTTCAATTCGCGCCTCAAGCCTGTTTTGGCCAAAGAAAGCAATTGCTTTTTGTTCTAGCTCATACTTTTTTTAAGCTTTTTTTGTTAATACTTCTTTATTGAGTTAGGACCGAAGTGTAACTCATAGAGTAATTTCGGATAGGGTACACCGTCTGCTCGTCACGCTATCTTATTTTCGGCCGGATAGATTCGTGCAACTTCTTAGTCTAATACCGATCCTAATCTTACTCTTATACTATCTAGTCTCAGGTTGTTTAACTAGTCTCTGCTAGGCTCAATAGATCTAGGGTATACTGGTTTATTGCGGCTGCTGAAGTGCTCGGGAGAGTCCAACTAATTTCTAAGTTAAATTCAAATCTCTCTGGTGCTGAAATTACAAGTAACTTCAGCACTTACAAATAAGTGGGTTGTTAGTTAGATGGATCATGATTGGTTAATATTAAATACTTTACATTGGTAAAACATTTAATTTATCCAATCATAAAATGTAGTTTAGATCAGGTTCCACCCATCCGGGTTTTACAGAGTTTTTTAGAATAGTTCTTCTGCAATTCGAAGGATGGATGATGGACGTTTGTTTTTGGCGAACATCATAATTTTCTTCCGTTTCCTCTTTTGTTAGGGAAGTTCCAGGAAGCTGGAGTTAGAGATATAAGACGTTGTGTCTTCTAGTGACAACGACTACGTCTTTGCAACAAACTCAAATCTGATTTCAGAATGGTTTGCTATGTCAGGTTTTTCTGTTCTGCGTGGAGAACTTCTTTTGTGTCTGATCTAGTTTGGGAATGGCGTGGAGATTGTGCGTGGAGGGGATGCCTGGTTACTCGGATCTGTACGTATACTTGAACATCGAGGTGGTCATTGGTCTAGTTCAATGAAGTCCTTTTCTGCGAGGTCAAGTCGTACTCTAAATCCTTTGAGTTGTGATTGTGAGCGGCATATCGATTGTAGTTGGTCATTCTCTCTCGAGTGTAGTGGGGTCGTCTTGTCTTTTGATGTTCGTCCTTGGTGTTGTATTCTGATCTACATATTGCATCATGTGATTTTACATTTTATAAAACTTTTATTAGTTTAATATTTTTTAATAATGATTTTAGTTAGTTGTTTTCACAAAAGCTTTTTGTTTTAGTTCGGTTATTTTGTAGAGTTACTCACACTTGAGTAGCTCTTATTAAAAATAGTGGTGTGGTCACAAAGCGTGGATGTAGCGCGGTGGGTTAGGCCGGCTATAGAGCATGCTCAGGACGTCCTTCCTGGTGGGTTAGGCCAGGAGTGGGAGTATGATTTCGTGCGGTTTTTGTGAGGGGTCCTGTTATGTGACAACGTTTTATGTTGGGTTTGTTGTGGTTTTTCTTATGTTTTGTTGGTTGTGTCCTTTTTTCAAAAATCAAATTGTTTGTGGTATGGGTTTGTCTTTCGACTTTTTTGTGTTTTATTATTTCTTTCTTAGACTTTATAATAGTCTTCAAAAGAATAAATTATCCAGTTTTAAACTGGGTTAATCCGGTTTGGGTACCGTTGGTTTCCTTTTCTAAGTCATGCTGTTATTCTATGATTTGTGGTATTTAGTAAGCTGCGTTGGTTAGTTTTGTTTAGTATATGATTCCTTTCCAACCGGGTTAAAGGAAAGTTTGAAACATGTTATTATATGTTAGAGTTGTTGAGTGTGAAAACTTGAAACTGAAATTCATTATTTTAAACAATTCTTCGTGGGCGAGCTGTGCGAGTGTGGATAGAATTTCTGTGCGAATGAATGAAAATATCAAAAGGTTAGTACTGCATTTGCATTTATTTAATTTACTACATAGAATTTAGAAATTTACTGCTAGTCATGGGGGAATATTAAGATACAAATTTTCATCATAATTAGATTTACTGCTTGTGGGGGAAAATTTTAGAAATGAATTTACTGCATTGGTATTAAATTTATAAATTTATAAGTGTAAGAGATTAATAGAAATTTTGAAATTTGTTTGATGAAATTTGCGATTTTTATTTGTCTTTTGTGGTTTTTGTAGGTGATCGTCAGATGAAGGCTAAAAATCTAAAGAAAACATGAATAAAGTATGGTGAGTTTTTAATATTTTAATTAGTTAGTAATATTCATTTAATTCATACTTACCTGTTAGTCGTCGGGGAAAAAACCGTGGGGGAAGATGTCGTGAATTAGTTCTGAAGTTGTTAGTAGTTTAGCTAAGATGCGGATGATATTTTTAGTCTGAAGCAGTGGCCAAAGCAATTGAAGTGCCTTGATAGTGGTTAGTTCTTCAGTGCCAACTGCAAATTCATAAGGTGTGTTTTGGATTAAGTTATATAATTTGTGATTGAATTTAGTGTTGTGGATGAATTCTAAAATTGGGATTTCTATGGGTTGTACAAACTCGTGCGGGATAAGGAAGGGTCGGGATTCTTCGGCGTTGAAGGTCTTGGTAATGGGACAGAAGATGTACATTTGGGTTATGGGGTCATAATTACGAAGAATACCATGGAGGTTAGTGTCTTTAATACAATATGTGAAATTTAGGAAAAATGGTGAAGTGTATTTGGAATTAATGAATTGAAAACGATGGTGTGGTTGTCTAGAGGGTGTGTGTAGGTCAAAGTGATTTTGGATGAAACGATAATAACTATATGTGTGGGTTTGTTTAGTGCGCAACATAATATCGTGTGAGCAGTGTAAATCTCTTTCGTGTGGTGCAAGGAAATGAAAGGTTAGTGAAAATATTTGGAAGCGTTCTTTGAAACTTTCGTAAGCTTGTGTGTCTGTTAGTGCTTCTGAAATAATGTGATCAAACTTTCGATCGAAGATGTTTAGTGTGAATGTATATGGTGTCTTGATGAAAAATTTCTCGGTAATTTGTGGATTAGCGAAGCGATCGTCGTCTAAGAATTGATCTTGGTTAGCTCTGATGATGTTGTGATCATAGTATTCGAGTGTATATTCGTTAGCTCTAGGTGCAGTGTGTGTTTTTAGTGATTTTTTATATCCAACTTAAGTAAATTGTCTAGGTGTTAGTGGTGTAGTGAGTCGATATAGCATGTCCGTATTTCGCTCTATATCGATGTGAGTGTTAGATAAAGGTAAGCAAAGAGGGTTAGTGAAATGATAATATGAGGTCCAAGAGAGAGTAGGCATTAAAACGTATTCATCTACGAAGTTGCGTGTTTCGTTAGTGTCGTGGGGGGTGTTTAAGGTGTATTGTGGGAATGAGGGTAAGGTGATGGCTAAAAATTCTTTTGTGTTAGTATGCTTGGGGTGGTTGATGTATTCACGGGCTGTTCCTGGTTTTGCTGGGAAAGGATGGTTGGGGAACTTTCTTTTAAAAGTGCGATAAGCTCTATTAGTGTTGAGTGAAGATTCAGTTGATGTGGATGATGGTGCTAATGATTCAGTATAAGTTGAAGAGGGTGTAGGGGTAGGGGGGTTGGATGAATTTATTGTGGAGGAGATTTGGTTTATGGTTGGGGTATTAAGGTGGTAGGGTTGTTGTTGAAGGGTAATAAAATTATCTAGCTCTGGGGAGATTCGGGGGGTGTCTGGAGAATGAGATGATTGGTCAGAATGGTATGAGGAGTAGGTTGGGGTAACTTGGGAAGCATAAGAGGGTGTGGGGGTGATTGGGTCAGGGTTATTGGATAATATGGGTTGAAAAGGGGGTTGAGAAAAATTAGAAGAGTTATGAAAATTATTGGATGGGGATGGTTCTGAGTCGGCGAATTCATCGGGGGTTTCAATATTCGGGTTATTTAGCTGTGAGATGGAGTATAAAACTGAGATGTGTGAATTAGTGTCGGAATTCATGCCTGATGTTACATTACTAGATGGAAAATCGGGTGGCGGAAAAGCAAAAAGTGGTATTATTGGGATTGGAGAGGTAAGATTGGTTGGGTGGGAATTTGATCGGTGTAGTGATCCAAGTTGGCGGCTCATCGTGGGCTAAAAAAATGATTATTTTGAGACTGAAAAGCGGTGGTATGGGGTTGTTCAATAATTTGTTCATAAGTATTATCATCTTGTGACTGGTGTGTCATTATATGTTGAATGGGACTTTGTGATGTGGTGAGT